GAATAGTTTCCATATCAGACTAAACCTTTGGCTTTAAACCAGTCTATCTGGTGCCCTTTGTAGGCTGTAATCGGCCAGTTCTGACTTTTTGACCCACAAATCTGTGTAGGTTTCTTAATGTTTAGATAGCCTCTTATGTATAGGTCGGCAGTTCTTCTTTACATAAAAGCTAGCACAAGAGCACAAAACCGTATAGCAATCAGATTTTGAGTATCAAAAATTTCCTATTGATGAAAGTGTCATTTTCCCCTTATACATTGTCCTAATAGACATCAGGATTGGTGTGGAGTAAGGATATTTCCCACGGGAATGAATGGGACAGGTCTGACGGCAAAACAGGATAAAATTGAGCTAAATGTTTCTCTTGAAATTGAGCAACATTAAAAGGCCGAAACCGTATACAAACGCAGACACGCACACTTATTCACCAACCTCAGCAATTCACTCATCTTTTTCGAGATCTGCCATGACGGCAACATCAAGATCTCAGTCGAGTGGTCTAGCTGACTATCTTGCTCCAAATAGATAGTTCCCTTCATCCTATTCGCTAGTATTTCAGAGCAATTCTCAATTAATCCTAATGGGCAAGCGTTCTTGACTAAAATTTTTCTTACTCGTATCATTTCCTGCTCCTGACGCAGGCTCATTGTAATTATGAATTTCATAATTCCTATTTTACCCTTATAAGTATGGCTGTATTTGTGGGTTTTATATACTGTTCGTTGCCCTCTTTGCTAACTAGGACATCTATAAAAGGTAGACAACCATCCTTTTCTAGTTTCATGGTGAACTTGATATTCCCATCGATCTCATTCATCGAGGTTAAGAATTCCCCTAGCCTTTCTTTTCCACCTCGCCATACGGCAAAGTAATCATCAAATACCTGGCCAATAATTTAGGAAACAAAAGTGCTTCTTCTGTTAAGCGACTATCTAATTGAGTCTTGTAGTTATTTGCTAAAATTGGGGGCAAGTATGATACCAGAGCTAAGCCTCGTGTTCGCTGGTTAGTTTTGATGTAGATATGTATACACCAACATCCCTGTAAGCAGAGCTACACAGGCTCTAGACCAAAACCCGGATATTCTGATAAGTACAAATTCAGGTAAGGAGTGAATAATGATGTCGACGAATTTAATGATAAGCTATACACCTTTTCATTTCAATAGTACATTGATGGAACAAAAACGAGGTTATGCTATAAGATTATGTTTGTCCCCAATTCTAGCAGATAACTTAATGGGTCAATTAGAAAGTCGCCTAACATTCACGCTGATTTCATCCTGACTGCTGTGAAAATAGGTGAAATACAGTAGAATTAACCAACCTACATTCTGAAGTTTTTGAGGGTCTGAAAGATTTGTGCCCACACCATAATTCGTTAAGAACAAAGTTTTTATGTTCTAGTTAGTAATTCTTTCTCTATCCTCTCCTATGAACAAGTATAGGCCGAGCATGATGACACCGAATTTCACCTTGGGTAGCGGAGGGATCAAATGACCTTACGTATCAGAGGTATGACTTACTTCTCCATACTACCATCAGTTCAAACCTAACTACTGAACCTCGGGAACCTCAGGCGGCTGGGCTAGATGTGCCATTTTACGTTTAGAATGTTGCATTGTGTTATTTTATCAATATCTGTATCTAGGAGGCAAAAACGGAATAGAGACGCACACCTTTGCCGTTTCAACTGCCGACGATCTAGCCACATGGGCGCGCGCCATCGTCGAAGGTGGTCACAGCGCGGTGACAGCGGCTCGTGAGATTGTTGTTGCCTGCCGATGGCGAGGTCAGGACTGCCGGTTGATCATGCACTACGAAACGGGCATAAGCCTTACACTGAAGCAATCCCGTCCTCTTCAAGCCTCCCGTACCGCCTTTACTACCGGCAGTGGTGATGAAATGAAGGGCCAAACGAACCAATCATCGGCATTAATCAGCAATCAGATGGCAAAGGATGCTGGTTTAGACCAAGACCTAGTCGTGCTCTGGCAATTCCCCTATCAGCGGCTCTGCTCTACTGCAGACGACGGACAAAGCTTGCTTTGGATAGACTTCGGGCAGGAGGGAGAACGGGTAGATCCTTTTAAAAGGCTACTTGATTTGTTTACTAAATCCACATAAATAAAAGGACAGGATATTATTTAACTTGTTAACCTTTCTAAATTTATTAGATTAACTTCGTTAAAAGTAATTCACATGATATTCAGCCAGACGTCGAAGACCACTTTATTAATATAGCCCTAACGACGCATGGTTAACAAATATCCTTAGCATACTGTCCAGCCTGAAAGAGGTGTTACGGGAATATTACTTGATATGGGTCCTTATTAAATATTAGTTCTGTCTCACAAATATTGTTTGACGAAAAGAAACTACGATGGATATTTTTATACAAATCTCTCTACATATTAGCTAGCTGTCATTCTCCATTTAATATGTCCATCATTCTATATTAAAGTACAGCTTTTATCATAGGCTGGTCTGACAAGGTTATTTTCCTCTCACTGTTTTATTATATAGTTATATGCACGATTATATTTCTATATCCATATATATATATATATATATATAATATTAAAAAATAGGTCAATTCATTAATTCACGGTTCATAAGTTGGGTTTTGATTTAACATTAATTCATATATTTGCTTTATTTTTCAATCCAAATCAGTAAATCTAATTTTATTAGAATGCTTGCCAAAATATTAAATTTTATGTGATACACATGTCATTTGATAAATTATATCGCTTTCCATGCTTTATCCTGCATCAGTAGCAAAATTGCCTAAAATACATTTTAAAAAGAACATGAGGTTACCATTGGTGCTTTATTAGAGGCCTTACCAGAGCCCCCAGCGAGTCATGTGCTCAGATGTAGTTAAGTAAATCCTTAGGCCACATGGCCTCAGTTCCAGTAAGTTTCAAGGCATATTTTGCACTCAAGCTTATTTAATCTAACCCAATTTCGACTGATGAAGAGTGTATGAATTGATGCTATCATAGTCTATCAGATGCAACGAGACTATTTTAAGAGCTATATGGCAGCTAGACAGTCAAATTTTTAATGGATAGAAAAAAGGCAAGTTCAAATATCACCTCGGCGAAGAATCAGGGGTGGGACGAAACAGGCCAATGTTGTCTCTATGCTCATAATCTCGATGCCGATGTGGCCTGGAAGTAACATGCTTTCCCTTGTATTCGCATATAAATGTTTAAAACTTATCTATAGATGCTAATCTGACTTAGGCGGGGCATTCTGGAGTTAAATGTCCCTGTTAGCAGCGAAATTCAATTTCTTTCTCATTTAAGTATAAACAGGAGAATTCAAGCTATATCCACTATAATTAATATCATTCTCATATTTTATGATATGGCACTCGTTCATTTATAAAAAATCTTATATTAAACAGAAGCGTAAAGAATAGAAGAACTATGAAATTTGTGAATGAAAGTGTCTGAAAACCAAGTATAATGTTTTGCCTTGCTTCCATCATTACCTACCCTAAAGTTATGCTAATTCTCAATGACTAATGAAATAAGTCTATTTTAAATTATTTGATTGTATATTATCAGATCATCCTATATAATATCTATATCGAAGAATTCAAATAATATGTACATCTCATTCAAACGAGGAGTCTTTACTCCACTAATTACATATTACTCATATTTGATGCAACATTTTATATAATAGTTGGTAAAAGTAATGCTTTAACGAGGGATGCGAAAAATCGCAATCACTATAGTTAATAACAAAATCAGGGCTTTACAGCTGATATCTTCCTATCGCTAGGTTTTATTCTATCGCAATAGATTACATTACTTTACATTTTGGTCGCATGGAAGAGAAAAATTACAGCATTACTTCACGTTTATAAATTGGATTGATGAAAGAATCAAGTTTACAATAAAATTAGAAGAGAAGGGGTGTTTACCTAACTTGGATATTGAAGGTAATCACTCTAATGGGATATTCAAGAGAAAATTGTTAAGAAAAAAGAGATATGTCAGAATAATACTGAATTTTGAGTCTCATCGCAACTACATATTGAAAATGGATATGAGGAACATGATCATCAGAAGACTACGATTGACAAACGTGAAAGTTTTGAATTTATGAGTAAACAAATTGACTCTGATATACCACGGAAACGAATATTCGAGGAAAGTATTACAAATAAACATACTGGCTGTGAAAAGCCGATGACAGGATGTGGATTATCATTGAAAAGTAAGGATGGAGAAAGACTCACGAAAGTGGATGTGTATACCCTCCTGTGAGCTAACTCAAAATGCACGGCTAATATTAAGAAAATTTAATACTCAGATGGTCACGGAGGGAAAATCAACTCTCCTCACATGCTTACTCACGCAACATGTGAGGGTAGATGAATCGGATTGATCGGAAGGTCACC